TTAGCACGAGACCTGGAGCTCATAAAAGACTCTCATGTTCCTTGGCTTTTCTGCTAAGGATGGTGAATTTTTACTTTACTATATTTTCTCTTATGTTAGAACAAACAATAATCAGTTGACACAGAGAAAGTATAAAATGGGCATTATTAGTCTTTATTGGCAATAACTTTGTAATAGTAAATTGGAGGCTGGAGACAGTCCATTGGTAGAGTGCTTCCCTGATCCAGGTGAGATCGTGGGGTCCATCCCTGGGTTGGATTGGTTTATCCTCTGTTGCTAAGCAGCTGCAGTGACTGAACTTGCCCAACTAAGCATCACAGCCTTCACTCTGAAGGAGAGCCCCGCCTCTGAAAGGCATTGTTTGGAGTCCCCCCTTTCACAGCTTGGAGGTCATCCCCACAGTCTCTTCTGGTTGTAAGTGTGGTAGTGTCTGTAGACACCAGGAACTGAGCAGTTTGCCACTTGTACTCTTTCCCTACATACAGATGAAGCGTTTTTTGACTCCGAACAGGACCCGGAAAAGTGCTGCTTGTTGTTGGAGTTTATCTTGAACTGCTTATACAAGATCTTCCTTTTTGACACCCAGAATTTCATGAGTAAAGAGAGAGCAGAAGCCTTGATGATGCCACTGGTGGATCAGGTAACCCACTGGACAGTCTTTGGTCACTGAGGCTGCCTGGATCGGCTTTGCGGTTGTATGTGTGCTGCGGTTGTATGGTAACTTGCAGGACTTTTTTATAAGGTGTTTTTAGAGGAGGGATCCTTTATGAAAATGTTATTCAAAAACAGATTTTTCACAGTGTAACTTGTCTTCATTTTGGTGTTCACTGAGTTTTACTTGGGAGCTTTTGAAAAGGAACGAAATCCAATCTCATTGTCAGTTTACCCATTGAAAAGGTGTGGTGACTGTCAACTGAGCCTCACTGGGCATAGCTGCCCCCACAAGAAAGTACCCCTCCCGAGTCTTCTGGAGGGAGCGCTTTATGAAGGACCTTTGCAGCTATTTGAGCTCCAGGGGAAGAAAGTGGCCCTAGAGACAAGATTAGGGTGGGGGGAACCTACTTTTTGAGCCTGCTAATGTTATGAAAGGTGGTAAAACACACACTGCGGGTGGGTTCAGGCATAAGGAAAATGACCTATTGCTGACACCCAGCGGGTCTCTTCCCAGCTGGAAAACAGGCTTGGAGGAGAAGAGCGGTTCCAGGAACGGGTGACAAAGCACCTAGTACCCTGCATCGCACAGTTCTCTGTGGCCATGGCAGACGACTCCATGTGGAAACCCCTAAACTACCAGATTCTGCTGAAAACAAGAGACTCCTCCCCTAAGGTGAGTGCTGTGGGTCAGTCTCTGAAGCTAAAGCTGCATCCCTGCATCCCCCCACCCCTACCCCTGGGCATGGTCTAAATGCCTACTTATAGTCATGGACACCAGTCCCTGGGCACTGGTAGGGAGAGCCTGGCCCTAGGCCTCATTCCTAGAGGTCTGATCTACTATATAATATAGCTGAAGTTTTCCTGGTCATGCCTGGCCCATGGTCAGGACAAATCTCTCTCACCCGCCAGTCCTGCATCCAAGTAAACACACAGAGACTTATATTACTTATAAACTGTATGGCCGTGGCAGGCTTCTTGCTGTCTAGTTCTTATATCTTAAATTAACCCATTTCTATAAATCTATACCTTGCCACGTGGCTCATGGCTTACCGGTATCTTGCATCTTGTTTCTCATGGCGGCGGCTGGCAGTGTCTCCTGACTCAGCCTTCCACTTCCCAGAATTCCTCTCTCTTTGTCCCGCCTATACTTCCTGCCTGGCTACTGGCCAATCAGTACTTTATTAACCAATCAGAGCAACACATTCAGAGCATACAGAACATCCCACAGCAGTATAATAGAATTCTTGGGCTGGGGAAGATAGCCTAGTCGATGAAGTTTGATCTCCAGAACCCACATAAAAAGCCAGCATGCTGGTGTGTATCTGGGAGTATCTGGTGTGTATCCATGTAAAAATGAGAGACTTGCTGAAAAATTAAGGTGGTGGCCCCTGAGGAACAATACTTGAAGTTGGCCCCTGGCCTTCAGATGCATGTGCATACAGTGTACATGGCACCCACCACACACACATATCCAATAAAGAACTCCTTATTTCTTCTGCAGGTTCTTTATAAATAGCTCTATTTCCCAACCCCCTGGGCATAGTAGGCATAAGCATTAAAATACTTTTTCTAAATACCTCTGAGTCTCAACTAGTAAAAACTCCAAGTCATTCTTATTTTTTAATGTCGTTGTGCCCTGAGTTAAGTAATTGTGGTGTGTGCACAGAACACTCCTTCTGTTAGAGCAGAAATAAGTGCCATGGTACGTTAAGTGACGTTAACATTCCTTCCTTGGAATTTCTTAGCAGTTTTATTAATAAATCACCATCTCACAAACTATCTTAGGAGAATCTCACTGGATAAAGAGCCCAAAGCAGACTTTTAGTAGGATTTATTCAAACTGATTACATTTATTAGGAGTTGAGAACAGTAAAGCTATCTATTATAGGTTCTTACATAGTTGCAGAAACAAATTTATTTTAGTATTTTATTTGGATTGCATATTAAGGAAATCTTGATTAAATATAATTAATTACGAAAATTATTCCACATTAGAAAGGGGACTGTTTTGTTTTAGTGGCTTGCCGTCAATACTTTATAGCTGCTTGCATTGCTCATGAAAGACAGGGTATGTGGAGAGGAACATCCAAGCTTTTATTGAGTGCTGAAGTGAGACTAGCCCTGGGTGTCTTGGCCATACAGGGGCTGCCAGAGACGGCCGAGGCACTCCATCACCAGGTTGGTACCTTCTCTGGCAACCCAACAACCAACCTCCAGTTTAGTTACAGTTTGTGACTCCCTTAAGTTTGCATGTGTGGCTTTTGTGTTGTTGTTGTTTTGTTTTGGGGTTGTTTTGCTTTATGTTTATGTTTTACATTATGCCATCATGCATGTGTGGAGGTCAGAGGCCAACTTGCAAGAGTCATTTCTCTCCTTCCCCGTATGTGGTCCTGAGGAATGAACGCAAGCCACCACCAGCCTTGGTGGCAGTCCCCTTTACCCACTGAGCCATCTTACCGGCTCTTGCTTTTTTGTTGTGGTTGTAAAGGAAAAAACAATAATTTTTTTCACATTTTAAAGTGCTGCGGTGCTAAAACACAGTTGGAAAACCACTGATAAGTAGATTACCCTTATTCTGAGTAGCTCCCTTTGGCTCGATGGTCTACACTGAGTGATCACAGTGAGGATGTGAATACACGCAGTATAAAGAGCGCCGTCTCCAACAGCAGCGAGGGACAGATGAGACATTCTCATTCTTGATGCCTGTTCCTTCCAGGTGCGGTTTGCAGCCTTGATTACTGTCTTAGCAGTGGCTGAAAAGCTGAGAGAGAATTACATTGTTCTGCTTCCAGAGTCCATTCCTTTTCTAGCAGAGTTGATGGAAGGTAAGTCTGAAGCTAGTAAACAATGATGCAGATCCCGTGGCCACAGGCTTGTTTGTTTTGTCCTCTCTACTGTGCCTGGGGCACAGGTCAGGAAGCTGTCACCTCACTGTCACTGAGAGCAGCCTGCAGTGTATTACTGGTATCTACCCTGTGTTTGTGCTGCTCATATGGCCACAGTATTGTTTATGAAATAACTTCAGGTATTCACAGGAGTCATTTCTGTGCCATTAAGGACATAATCAGTTGTCCACTGGAATGATGAGCTATACTTTTGGTACTCAGTGTTAAGTGTTGACATAATCTTACAGTGAGTCACACTGTCCCTCTTTATAAGAATCTAAGAAACTGGAAACTCAGAAAGCTTTAAGACATTGATAATAGCACTAAGTGGCAGGGTGGGGCTGGTTTAAACAATACACCTCTTCATTGACATGCCTTTATATCATACCACCCAATGCCCTTCATATTAATTGGGGATGGTGAGGAAGAAGAGGTACTTCTGTATCTACTGGCTGTGCGTCTGGCCAGAAGCACACCCTTTGATGTCTGGTGTCTAACCAGGGAGAGATTCCTGGAAGAGAGGTCCCTCTGGAGCTTGGATTTGAATGTGTGCCCCTTTGTTTCTTGGGCCTCTTCAGCAGCCAAGAACAAGAACATGTCTGTGAGGAGTGGGGGTCAGTGGGGGAGCACCTCAGGTCACAGCCTGCTGGGTGCTTCCTGTGCCCTGATGGAACAGTGGCAGTTAGGCAGGACTGCTGGCAGGCCCTCTTCTAATCCTGGTTTTTGTTGTTAGATGAATGTGAAGAAGTGGAGCATCAGTGCCAGAAGACCATCCAGCAACTGGAGGCCGTGCTGGGGGAGCCGCTGCAGAGCTACTTCTAAAGCCGAAAGCGTACCCACTGCCTGTGCTCTGCTGAGAGTTCAGATTTATTCTCGTGGTTTATATGGGGGTGTGGTGCCATATTACTTTTGGTACTTTCACATCTGCCGATATTTAATGTTTACAGAATCCCTGCCTGTGTGGGCTCCCACAGTGGCCTCTCCTGCCCTTTGTACAGAGTTGCTAAGGAGTAAATGGGACGGTGTTTTATACAAACTGTCTGGTGTTTGTCTTTGTCCTGGCTGGTGTTCTGGATGAGACCGGCGTGTTTAATTTCAGTACCTGAGGCCTAGTGCTTCTCTGAAACACGAGGTCTTGCTGTTCCTTGCAGCACCTCGTGTGTGGTATACATATTGTGAGTACTACACCCACAGTAGAGCTCTGGGTCAAGAAGATGGCACATGCGGCAACTTTGAACAAGAAGGTTTCTGGTGACAGCTATTTGGGGTCTTGCTTTTCTTTTGGGGTGGACTGACAGTTGACTCGGGGCTGTGCATGTCTCCATTGCTCATCTTTTCTGTTTGTGAGGAAACAGCCCACGCCTGACTGGCAGCTCACAGGGAGGAGAGCAGTGCTAGCCATGACTGTTGTAAGTTCTCTGTCTAGTACTGTCACAGTGAGGCTGGAAATGAGAGTTCAAATCGAATTAAACCAGTTTGCCTTCATTCTACAGCATGGAAGAGCTATTTCACAGAGTATTCATTCTAATTTAATACAAAATTTTAATGTAGAACTATGACAAACAAAAAGGCCTCTTTGCATTTTAGAGATAAAACTTGGAAATATACAATGAAACATCTCACAACTTAAATTCCAGCAGCTTTTTTTTAAAGACCAGAATCTAAGAATTAAGACTGATTCTATTCAAAATCAGTCTTGATAGCTTTGTGCAAAATAGAAATGAAAATAAGCTTTCATATGAATGGGCTTTTGTTTCCCTGAGTGCCTTTCAGCCTCCCAACAGCTCAGTCATGTGTTCTTTATGAAGAGGCATCGCTGAGGGGTTCTGGAGCCTCCTGGCCTCCCTACAGATTGCCCAGTTCCACCCACCGCCTCCGTAGCTTGAGTTTTTCAAGAGTCAGCATAATAAATTTACATGAAAAGAATGAAGGACTAGCATTTGCTGCATTGGTACTTCTCAAAAAGAAAGAAATGGTGATGGCATTATTTCCCATGTATGAATACATGTATCTGGGTGAATTGGCTGTGAATACTTCTAAACCCTGGTGGAATTCTATCCTGTGGTTAAATAATAAAATGATCTGATTAACTTTTAGCACTTCTCCTCCGCACACCAAACCTTTGAAATCTGTAACAAGGTCGGGACTGTAAAGAAAGACTTCACCTAGAGCTTCTCCCAGCTCCAGTCAAACAATGGAAGTTACAGGAGTGCTGCAGCTGACCTTGCTGATGCAAGCTGACTTAGAGCAGCATCTGACCTCAATGCTGCTGTAGACAGACACGTCTTCAGACCCAAAGGCCAAGGGCTGGTTCACACACCAACTCACCTTTTTCAGTTACCCTCCTGTGTAGGTTTTGCTCTGATAGTGCCTGTTCTATACATTCACTAAGTCTCATCTTGATGTTGGTTACCCAAGGTTTTATAAACTGCATTTATCCATTCTCTACCACAGTTTGCCTCAGGCACACACACACACAGACTTGAGTGCCAGTAAGCAGAAATCTGCTTGGAGCAGAATACTTGTTCTAATTCAGGTTTTGTTGCCTCAGTTTTTCTGCCATGTTCAGTATCATATTTATTATTTTATAAAGCTTAAAGCAATAAGAGCTAAATAAGTGAATGACAAATGCCCCCAATGGGTTTGGTTAATGCAATGTCAGCAGGAAGGCCCTACAGTGGGAGATCATGAGCACGTGAGTGCCAGAAAACAGGGACCACACGGGTTCTGGGCACTGCCATGTCTATGCCCAGCTAAGAGAATATACACAGTAAATATGCCTTCCATCCCTATTAACTAGTATATTAGAGTAGGCACTTAAATATGTGCTGAGTGTGGTTTTACAGGAAGGGGCCCTGTGTGCAGAGCCTCACTGGCTAAGATAAGCTGGGATTGCCCCAGATTTGTTCCTCTGAACGTAGAGGTAGCCACACTGCATGGCCAGGCCTGAGAACACCAGTAGAACTTGATGTTGTATGAGCTCAATTTAACAACATAAACAATGTGGTGAAAGCGAGATGCATTTGACATGGCCAGGATCACATAAGCCATTTTGTATTTCAGTAGTTTTGGCAGTCATGGTAGCTACCAGCTCCTTACATCCAGCAAACGGATATCACCATCAACTGCTAGTGTGTCAATACTGCTTAGGTCTTTAAATCTGTGTTTGTACTCCAGGCTGTGCACACCATTTACTGCAACTTTGAATTCTCGGACATCACAGTAAATTATCATCTGAAAGGAAAGGAGAAATTTTATGTTTCTTCTATATTAATAGAGGGTCAAAAGGAAAACCATTTGGCTTGCTTTGAGCTTGGAGATGTTTCCCCAGCCTTCTACCATTGACTCCCCTTCTGAGTGATTTCAGAGGCGACCCAAATCCCCAATGCACCATGTGGCATCTGCATCAACCCACCGTGTCTCACCAGGTCCTTCCGTCAGGAGTCCCTCTCCCATTCTGCTCCTGGTTCATAGAAAGCTGGGAAGCGTCTCTCCTCATGATATTTGGGAATTAAGAGAAAGTTGCTGATCGCTGCTCCCCTCCCCTTCTCTGCGAAGCTGAGCCTTGGAACCTAACTATCCTGCTTCTATGCTAGGGTCTTGGCCATGTCAACTGATGAGGTTCCAACAGCTTGGGACACTTGGTAAGGAGAGCAGTTACTCAGTAATCCTAGCCCTGTCCTCGCTCAGAACATAGTGGCCTTTCTACCTGTTTCCAGAAAGCTTTTCAGGGCTGAGTTCCCAGGCTCTGTGCAGGAACTAGCAGCCTGGCAGATGCGTCACTGCTGCCCACCCTTCAGAGCACTTTCCTAATGTCTGAAGCCAGCATCCTGCAACACTGCCTAAACACCTAACCCCGCACTTCGCTGCCACACACTTAAGGCCAGGAGGCCACGGACCATACCAAGGGGCCACTCACTGAAAATGCCAGTGTGCTCCTTGCCACAGTGAAGACTTCAGAAGACAGCACAGCCTGACTTTGGACCCACCCCATTCCCAGAGATCAGACTAGAGCATCAAATTTGAATCTGCAAACAACCTCGTTAAGGTTCTATTTTTTAGACGGTAGAATGGAAAAGCTACCACAGGAAGTCAGAACAAGGAGGAAGTGAGCATGTAATGTAATTGACTGAAACCAAAGTAGTGCTACACAGGGAATTGGGGGATTATCTATTGAGATATCTCCCCAAGAATGGGGGAAATCCCAAGTTCAACTAGCTGGAAGGGGTCTTGGGTGACGTATAGTTAACAAATCTCAAATCATAATATATAGTCTCCTGATGTGTGGCTCAACGGGAAAAAGCGGAGAGGCAAGAAGCCAAGATGCAACCTTTGCAAGTTCCCTCTGCTGTATCAAATAACTGCAACAAGTGAAAACACTGCAGCAAAACAAAACAGGAAGGCTTGTGACCTGCAGAGTGCATCTGCCTAAAGAGGAAGTGAAACAGCAGAGAGATACCACCCGCCACGTGACCTCAGAACAGCTGGGAAAATACAGTTTTCTGGCTCTAATTCTGACTGCCCTGGACTTCCGCCTTCCGAGCTGGAGGTGGCCACACTGTGTGACTAGGCCTAACAGCATCCAGTATAGTAAAGTTGATGCAGTGACAGGGAGGTATTGTGACAGCCAGTGTCACATAAGCTGTTTTGTATTTGAACAGCATTCCAACGCAATACAGTGTTGAGTGAGATTTTAAGACAAGAGCTAGGGGTGGTAGCTTAGTGAGTCGGTGTGCTTGCCTGTGAGGCCCAGCATGACTGTTTTTAAAAAAGAGTGGGGCTGGAGAGATGGTTAAATGGATAAGACCTATGGCTGTTCAAGCGAGTGTGAGGACCCGAGTTTGGATCCTAGCACCCAAGTAAAAAGCTGGGCCACCCAAGCACCTGTATCCTATGGCTGAATTACATACAGGATACTTACAGGATCCCTGGTGCTTCCAGGTTCAGTGAGAAACCCTGTCTCAGAGAACAAAGCATTGAATGGTAGAGCAGGCCTGTGCACAAAGGTCTCACACACACAGAGAATCAGGGTAAGTGAAACTGAAGTGCAATACCCTGTTTAACTGAAAGGAATGGCACAGGGGAAGATGGCAAGAACTTTAGGAGTAGGAGAGTATACTGAGAGGTCCCAAGTTTGACACCAAGTCTCTCACCGTGGGAGGCTAACAACAGCGTGACGGAATCATTGTTGCTGCACCGGAGCTCACAAGGGAAGGGAGTCCAAGTACTGTGGAGTACAGATGTACAGTGTACCCACCTGTCTCCCGTCCCCTTGGCTGAGCCGGCCTTCAGCTCTATGCCCACAGAAAAATGTCTGGAATGGGCTCCACCTAATCTTCTTTTTTAAGGTTCATGTTAATTTTTTAATTATTTGTATGTGGAGTGTGTGCACAGAGGGCAGGTACCCACTGTGGCCAGAGGTATTGGATCCCATAGAGCTGGAGTTACAGGTAATTGTGAAGCACCCAATGTGGGTGCTGACTGGAAACTGAATTTAGGTCCTCTGCAAGAGCAGTACACACTCTTAACCACAGAGCCATCTCCAGCCCCTGCTTCAACTAGTCTTAATAGCATTATCTAAATAAATTAGGAGTCAAATTGGAGGTAAATACTTATTTTCCTTTTTCTCTTTTTCAGCATTATTTGAGTTTTGTTACCTTTTTATTTCAGCATCATAGATTGGTACCAAGTTATACTACTGTTTTCCTCTCAGCCACAAGGACCAGCTTCCTTCTAGAGGTGCCCACCTGTCTCCCTCCTGTGTACCCCAGATCACCCCACATACCCTGGCTCCTGCCAGCCACAAACCCTGAGCCACACCTCGCACTTCTAATGATTTGTTCAAAGTGCCCTAAACATGGCCTTCCAGATCTTGCTCAGCTTCTGAATTCACAACCAATACCCACACCTTCAAGGAACCTGCCATGTCTAGTCCACATCTGCCTGCCCTCCAAGCACTGGGTTGCTTCCTTATCCAGGAATTTAGAAATAATGTGACTGTCAAGTTGCCATATTCTGGTCAGCTTGGCCTTCATGCTTTAACAACCAGTTGATTGAGTCCCTGAGAACTCAATAGTTTAAGCATGTGAGTTTAAAATGGAAAGCATAGCCTAAACTAATCCTGAGAGACCATGAGAGGCAGTCACCTAAGCTGTGAGAAAGTCTAGCCAGCCACCTAGCATCTACATCCCAAGGAGACATCACTCTTCAATCAGAAAGCATCCCAGAAGGGGGCTGGAGAGATGGCTCAGTGGTTAATAGCATTGACTGTTCTTCCAGAGGACCTGGGTTCAATTCCCAGCACCCACATGGCAGCTCACAGCTGTCTGTAACTCCAGTTCCAGGGGACCTGACACCCTCACACAGACATACACGCAGGCAAAACACTCAATGCACATAAAATAAAAATATATAAATTATTAAAAAAAAGAACACCAGAAAACATAATGCATACCAGGGACTAGAAACTGCATGCCCTCTGGTTCCCAGGGTCTTATGTACTAGTCCTTAACTACCTACCAACAGGACCAGCTCTTAGAAAGAAATACTGCCATCTGGAACTATGGAGGCCGTGGACGGTGCAAACACACAATTTGAGGGTACAAGTATGTATGTGGGGCTGGGGAGGTGATTCAGCAGATAAAGTGCTTTGCACAGGACCTGAGTTAAGTAAAACTTGGTGTGGTGGCCTGTACCTCTATTCCCAGTGCTGGGATGCAGAGGTAGGTAGAGCCTAAGACTTTTGGCTAACCTAGCCAATTGGTGAGCGCCAGGCTCAGAAAGAGATGTGTATCAAAAAATGGGGAGAGCTACAGAAAGACACCTAATATCAACCTGACAGCAACTACACACACACACACACACACACACAGACACATATGCCAAAAAAGAGAGTATCTGTAGTTCCAGTCCTGAGACAAAGTTCCTGCCAGAATTCCTTGGGGTTACACAGATATTGTCAATATGACAAATGTCAAGTAGTCTGGTATGTCAAGTATACTGGCCTGCTGTTTACACCAATGGCCTGTGTTCAAATTACAACCTCCACAGTCAGCGAACAGCAGCACACAATCCCTACATAGGAGGTTGGGTTTGATTTAAATAAAAGTTATTTTACTGTGTTCTCAGGATTCTTTTTTTCCTGTCCCATTTCAAAATAAAACAAAACAAAAAACATAATCTTACCTCAAAGTACATTCCAAGACTAAATGGGAAGCTGGTAATATTTCTCTCCTCTTCTCCCCAGGCATCCTGAAGAAAGGAATTTCTTACAAATGCTTTCATGTTCAGGCGTGGGTTCAAGTGTAGAGCGATATCCCTTGATTTTCCTGCCATTAAGTCAACGTTAAAACTGTAAGAGAAAGAAAAAAAAAAACCTTAGACTTGAACTACAGTTCTAACTACAAATCCCACATGCACGTGGAACATGGCGGGAGGGACTTCCAACTCCAAATTTGCATGCTACTGACTCATTTGCATGGGAACATGAGGGAGGGGCTTCCAACTCTGAATTTGCATGCTACTGACTCATTTGCAACATGAGACAAGGATCAGTGATGAGGCTGTGGTTTGGCTGAGCAACAACTGGATGTTTAGAACAAGTAAACCCCATGAGTACTTCAGGCTGCAGGACTCAGGGACCCTCAATGCAAGCATTCTCCAATCAGTTCCACATGTTCCCTTTTGAAAACACCCTACTACCTAGGAAATAAATCTCCTTTCAAAAGCATTCAAGAATATAGACATCTTGAAAAAAGGGTTTGTGTGTGTGTGTGTGTGTGTGTGTGTGTGTATGATACATGGGGGTGGGTATGCACACAGAAGCCAGAGGTTGACATTAGGTATCTTCCAATACTGCTTTCTAACTCACTCATTTTTAAAGATTCATTTTATTATTTTTAATTATGCATACTTGCAAAGCTATGTGCATGTGAGTGTAGGTGCCTGTGGAGGCCAGAAGAGGGCACCAGATGCTCTGGAGTCAGTGGAGATTGTGAGCTGCTTGACATTGGTGCTGGAAACTGACCCCCACAAAAGCAGCACACATTTTTAATCACAGCCTTCTCTCTAGCCCTTCTACCTTTTTTTTTTTTTCAGACAGGGTCTCCCCTGGGATCCTCCTGTCTGCCTCCCAGTACTGGGGTTATAGGTACATGCCACTACACTAAGCTTTTTCACAGGGGTGATAGTAATTCAAACTTTACCTACTGAACCATCTCCCTAGCCCCACCTCTGAAGTCTTTTTTCTTTTTTCTTTTTTTTTTTTTTTTTTTTGAGACAGTCTCACTGTGTATTCTGGCTGGCCTCACAGAGATTCACCAGCCTCTGCTTCCCGCATGCTGGGATTAGACTTGCACTACCCTGCCCAACCCAGGAAAGATTCTGTATCACAGAATGGGAACCTCATCTGGTTTTGACGAGGTATGACTGGCAGAGATGAAGGTATTGTAAAGAAGAACTTCTGTCTCTCATCTATTAGACTGTTGAAACAATGGACTCCAAGAAATGGGGATTTCCCAGGAATATCATGCTAGGAGAAGGAAATCGCACCAATCAGAGTAGGGACTGGTTGCCTGGGAAAATATTTGCAACTTGTAAGACCGCGTGAAGCCCAAACAATAATGGGCCAGTGGTGCTGGGACCACACCCTGACTGGGACTGCTGAGAGGTACAGATCCTTGGTCCTCTATTTAAACTTGAATCTTGCCACAGGACCCTGCACCCGAGGGGTCTCTGGATCTCTTCGTCTCTTCCCCACGCGGCCACGCTGAATAAATCCTTGTTTTGCTTTCTGCTATTCGTTTGGCTGTTTCATTGGCTTCTTGAGGGTGGATAGCTGAACTTGGCTTCTTAGGGTATGGACTGTGACCCCAAGTTTGGTACACCGAGGCTATCCTAGGCAAGAGGAGCCTGGACAAAAATTTCACCTACCTGGGCAAAAGAGGGCCCAGGCAGAACCTGTCCTTGGTCCAGACTCTGCCAACGGCTCTTTGGGGGGACCTCGCACTGCCATGTTTCCTCCTTTCAGGAGAGCCCACCAGCTCCACCAACACACCCCGAGTCCACGGCATCGTGAAGCGGCAGTACTGACCCTTTAGCAACTGTGTTCACTTCTCCCTTAATGACAACCGTCCGTCCAGGGCCCATGGAGGCGTTCAACCTTGCTTCAAACGGCAGGCTCTGAAAGGGGCACAGTCAGAGTGAGGCGGCTTCAGACAGGGACCTTGTTCAGAAATTCCCAACAGTATGCAGGCAGGGTTCCGAGTCTGTGAACCCCAGGAAGGGACAGACCTTTCTTTTATCTCAGCTGGGTGCCAGGTCCCGGCCCACAGGACACACTCAGTGATTGTTTTACACTACAAAACAGCATCGAGGCCTGGGTGGCACCTGACACCTTTTGCATGAGACATGGCCACAGAGCTATCGGGTGCGTGGGGCCTAAGGTCATTCTGTCTAATGGGACCAGCCACCCACACGAGCGGTTCAGACACATGCCTGACGACATGTCTGTCCAGGAAAAGTACAATGCCAGGGGGCTGCCTTGGGCTTCTGCTGGGAGTGCAGGTTACATGTAGCAGTTAACTAGAACTTAATTTCTATACAGAGTTAAACTGTTGGCTCGTCAAACCTTAGACAAACAGCTGGGAGGTAGGGTTTTAGTGTGAGTGACAGCTGAGTCTATGCCCTTGGTGGCCAGTTCTGTGTATGATTTTAGAAATGTCTCCTCTATTACCAGGTTATAGGAAACAGTTCTACAATAAAGTATGGAAAGAATACAGTTGCCTTCAAGGTCCAGCTGTTCATGTTCTAGGTTGTTTATAAAATGTCCCACATAGAATAACCAAGCAAAAGTACTCACCAACTGTGCCTTGCCAGACGTATGTACCTGGTGGAGGAGAAAGAAGAGTGAGAACAACCTAGTGGGCAGGCTGACGGGTTTGCAATGAGCAGCCTGCTGTGGCTTCGTGTATCAGTGCCTTGTCTGCCTGGGTGTGACACAGGCCCCGTGCTTCAGGACAGGCGCCGTGGAGCTTATGAGGAGCAACATGGCCTGGAGTGGAGTCTGGCAGCCTTCTCCATGTGGATACTTTATCATCCATAAATTACTAGTTGTTCAAAGGTTTACATGTGAACTTCAAACATATCTTCCCTATCCTCCCCAAGAACCCTCCAAATACTGACATGTTGTTCCACCTGTAAGCATGATGTGCAGAGGGGTAAGGCCTTGCTCTTTTAAGAACACTAAAGTCTCCATTTTAAAACTGCTCTGTTGCCACAAAGGGGCAGAAAGTTCATCTGCAGTGTACCTGGTGTTCAGTATTTACAAATGCTTCATTCCAATACCCCTTAAGAAGTCAGGGTGACAAAGTGCTTTTTACATGACCATGGAGTGGTAGCCATTTAAACAGTCAGGTTACAGGGCAACCAAAAATACAGTGCCCAAGACCATAAAACAGTGTGCCCCTTGGTTCTCAAATGGCTGCTCCTGTCCTGGCCTCCCATGAAAAGCTTAATTTGGGAAGCTGGGGAGACAGCTCAGTTGGTAAGGAGCTTGCTGTGCACCCATGTCAAAGCCAGGCACAGGGCTTGTACATTTGTAACCCCAGTGCTAGAGAGGCAGAGAAAGGAGGATCCCCAGGCCAAGCTGACCAGCCAGTCTAGCCAAGAGCTGAGTGCCAGGCTCAGTGAGAGACCCTGTCTCACAAAATTAAGGTGGAAGAGTAGGGGAGATGGTCCAGAGACTAAGGCAATTGCAGGGCAAGTATAAGGACTGGGGTTCAAATCCTCAGGACCCATGTAAATGCTGGGCCAGCATGGAGGGCTGCCTGTAATGCTAGCACATGATAGCCTCTCCAGACGAACTGAGTTGGCAAGCTCTGGGTTCAACCAAGAGACTGCTTCAAAAGGCTGAGAGCCATCAAGGAAGACATCGAATATCTATTTCTGACTTTCATACACACGTGCCAACACACATGTGATCATGTATACACATGCACATACTGTACACATATACATGCAAAAATAATAATAAAAAATATGTAGAGCAATTGATAAAGACTTCCAGAGTTGACCTCTGGTCTCCACATATATGCACACCCACATATACACATGCGCCTGCACACACATGAGCAAATACAGAAAATTCCATAATTTAAAAAAGATAAAGCCTTCCTTCCACTGATGGTAACTAAGAACATTTTTAAACTGGTTTATAGAGAGAATATTTACATTTTCTCTACTTATCTGCGTCAGTCCCAGGGTAGATGTTTCCATACTCTGTAAACCCTGCAGAAAGATATGGATTAACTTTAACGTCCATCAGGATCTTTTAAAAATATTGAACATAATAAAAACATCAGTGATACCGTGCATGGAAAATTATTGAGAATTATGATAAAAAAATGCAACTGAACACTGGGGTCTACCGAAAACTGGCAAGTTTGTGAGGACAAGATGTTAATAATGTTAATAAGATCATGAGCACATGAGCAGCTGGACACAGCTGCTGGGAGTATGAACTGTTCCTATCCTGGGGAACAAGCTACCAGTGTCCAAGAAACTTACACTCCAGTACATAGAAAACTGCCTTGCAGAAGCATTTGTTCACTCCCACAGACAGGAAATCCACACTAACCAGATAAAAAGATATTCCCTTTGCAGGCTCACTCTAGATTCGAGGTCCCACAAACAACAAAAGCCTGGTTAGTGAGCAGGACCCAACTAGTCTGAAAGATTTACACTTCTTTTATCTAAATGGAAGATGTAAATTAAAGAAAATTCCTACTCTTTGGTCCGACTGACTGTGAAAAACACTGTCCCCAAAGCCCCCCAGGTATGTGTGGAAGGTCACTTACCGAGCTGAAGCTGAACCCAATAGAGTGAATGTTCACTTTGCCATAGACACCTAGTGTGTCTATCTTCTCTGGGCCAATCCTGTGGGCATACAGCAGAGTGTGCTTCCCATTCACAGCCACCTGGGCAGACACAGACGGCAGTGCCCTCAGAGCATGGTAATCAACTCCTTATCCAAATAGAAATGTCTCCTTACAGGGTGGGAGTGGAGCTGTGGTACAACACGCTTGCCCCAGGTTCCATCTCCAACACCACAAAAATGAGTGAGTGAATGAATGAATGAAAGAAAGAAAGAAAGAAAAAGAAAGAAAGAAAGAAAGAAAGAAAGAAAAAGAAAGAAAGAAAGAAAGAAAGAAAGAAAGAAAGAAAGAAAGAAAGAAAGAAAGAAAGAAAGAAAGAAAGAAAGAAAGAAAGAAAGGTCTTCTTAGGTTTATTTTCCCACAGATCTCTGCTTACATTGTGGCTGAAAGCAGCCACCACACTAGCAGAAATCCTGAACTTTTTGAGCCTTGTCTGATTAAGCGCCTGGGTCATCTCTCCAGGCATATACATTTGGAAATATGTGGGCTCCACATGTGTCTATTGTGTGTGCCCAGGAGATAGCCATGCTCAGGGCCCCAAGAGTCACAGATGAGGTCTGAAAGCCTAGGAGGCAGGTTAGCTCTGCCTAATTGCTGCCCCAACCCTCTGTAAGGGCCACACTCTGATAGGCCCATCTATATGGGAGGCACAAGTATGTGCTGACTTCACGAAGTGAAAACACACAGCAGCCGGGTGGTGGTGGAGGTGCACACCTTCGATCCCAGCACTGGGGAGGCACAGGCAAGTGGATCTCTGAGTTCCAGGACAGCCAGGGCTACAGAGAAACCCTGTATCAAAAAAAATAAAACAAAACAAAACAAAAAACAAACAAACAAAAAAAAACCCAACAAGAACCAAAAAAAATCCAAACAAACAAACAAACAAAAAAATGCCGGGCATGGTAGCACACACCTTTAATCCCAGCATTTGGGAGGCAGAGGCAGGCAGATCTCTGTGAGTTCAAGGCCAGCCTTGTCTACAAAGTAAGTTCCAGGACAGCCAGAGCTGTTACACAGGGAAACCCTGTCTTGAAACCCCTCACCCCCCAAAAAAGCAGACAGTGAGCTTTCTGACTTATCTGAGATTTCTTATCTCTAAGTTGTAAAAACCTTACTCAATGGGCTAGAGTTGTATGGGATGATAAAGTGCCATCTGTGAGTTCTCTGCACAGTGCCTCCAAATGCCAGGTGGTGAGTCAGAATTCAGGAGGGAGACATAAGCAGCCCACAGTAGGGTCCATAGTAGGGCCTCTCAAGGAACTTAAAAAATCCCCACATACAATAAGCCCAGGGCAACATGGCCAGTACAGCTATGCTGACCAAGACTGAAGGGGAGAACAGTAAACTGAGGAGTGAAGGGGTTTCCAGAAAGCAAGGTCCCACGGGACCTAGACCAAGATGTGCACACACTCTTGGAGCCGGAGGATCTCTGGTTTACAAGCCCTCTATGGGTTTGGGGGCTGGTACTCAAAGGAACCCCTGCAGCCAACTGTAGCTCAGGAAGTCAGTGGCTGTGTTCACAAGCCCCCCGGGTATCTGGCTGTGAGACTAGACCTGCCCCTTTGGAGTGCAATGCTGGCCACCAACAGTCTGCTCATGCAGATTTTCCCACACGTTAGGTGGGGGGTTTTATTATCCACTCCCTTAACAGTGACATGATGCTGTGTCAATCTGGAACTTAGCCCTCCTAAAAGAAATAAGACCTAAGAAGGAGTATCTGTTCTGGGCCTGTGTTTCCGTCTGGACAGAGAATGACGAATCTGATGGCTTCAGTAGCCTGAGATGCCCCTAAGCCGGCTCACACCCTCCCTTTTCCTCTCAGCACCTACCTGGAATTTGTTCTTGAGCACCATGATCACGATCTCAAAGGACTTTTCTTTTTTGAAGGGCATGTCATAGGTGATCTCCTCCCAGCCCCATTTCTCATTCGTCATCGTGTTACAAACGATGCAGTTGGACCTTTTGAAGCGAGGGTTGAAGTGGAAGGCCACGTCAGCCCTCGGCTTCAGGCTGTTGCCATGCTGTAGGTCCACCTGGAACCTGAGCAAGGGCAGAGCGGAACCACGTGAGCCCGTGAAGGTGAGCCATGGGAAAAGTGTAGCACCCCAGCACCCCTTCCTTCATCCACAGCACCTACGGGGCAGCCTGCCCATCTTCCTCTCCTCCCTCCTCAGTAACAGAGCCCACAGTCTGAGCTGGGTTGAGAGTGAGCTGCACCTGATCTTCATCCACTCCTGCTCCACGGCCCCACCCCCTGCTCCATGGCCTCACCCCCTGCTCCACGTACACCTCCAGCCTTTCAAAGCATGAAAGTGAGGTGCATTTTCAGCCGAGGATTCTGATTATGAGGCCTGCCCCCAGGGGTACACAAGTCACAAGTTGATGGGCAGGACTGGCTGCGAAGCTCAGAGGTCTCTGTGAGATAATTTCCACACATCTAAATCAATGTCAGCCACTCAGAACTGAACTCAACTCTGACTGACATGACCTGTGATGGTTGCTCTTCCTTGTCAACTTGACTGCATTTTGGATCACCTAGGAGACACACCTCGTGGTGTGTCTGTGAGAGCATTTTCCAGAGAGGTGTGACTGAGGAGGGAAGACGCATCCTGAAATGTGGACAGCACCACCCACAGACTAGTGTCCCTGACTGAATACAAAAGAAAAATGGAGACAGTGAGCTGAGCCCTGGCCATTCGTCTCTCTCACCTTCCTGACTAAGGACACAATGTGATCAGCTGCCTCAAGATCCTGCCACCACAGTAGAGTTGCTCTTAGTCCCCACCAGGATGGACTGTACCCTCAAATCACGAGCTTGAAATAAAACTTTCTTCCTCTTGTTGCTTTTCTCAGTAACAAGAAAAGGAACCAACACATCCCGAGTTTATACCCAAAGCAGACACTCAGCAAAGCCACCAACACTGTCTTGAGAGATACTGTGACAGTGTTGAGACTGTACCGAGACATCCTGTTATCCAACAACCCCCTTTTCTATAAATGTATCAGTTTATATTGAAACCAGACATAAAGCAATGATATAAAAAATTCCAGTAACCAATTGGGCATGGTGGTGCAGGCCTTTAATCCCAGCACACAGGAGGCAGAGGCAGGCAGATCTCTGTGAGTTTCAGGATAGCCTGGTCTTCAAGACAGCCAGGGCTATGTAGAGACCCTGTCTCAAAACAAAACACCCCAGTAACCTTCGCCCCATTATTCATCCTCCTCACCCCTCGGCAGAGCTACTAGTGATGCAGCAGCCCTCATAACATCAAAGTGGCCTCTCCACAGTCACTGGGAGACTTCCACAGGACACAAGGAGCTTACCTGTCCACATCATTAGGAATATGTCCACGAATTACAATCAAAGAGCCAGGCTTCAACTGCTCAGAAATGGTGCCAACATAGGGGATTGTCTAAGGGAAAGAAATGTTACAAATGTATTTTCATAAACAGATTCAGCTGAAAGGCAATTATAACCAAACTCGGTGACTACGGAAGGCTAGTAACAGATGATGACCTTGAACTTCTAACTCTCCCGCCTCTCTGCCTCCCAAGTACTGACTACAGGCAGTCACCAGGCCCAGCTCCCAACTTACATTTTAAAAGTTGAACAGAACGCCGGGCGGTGGTGGTGCATGCCTTTAATCCCAGCACTTGGGAGGCAGAGCCAGGCGGATCTCTGTGAGTTCAAGGCCAGTCTGGGCTACCAAGTGAGTTCCAGGAAAAAGGCGCAAAGCTACACAGAGAAACCCTGTCTCGAAAAAAAAAAAAAAAAAAAAAAGTTGAACAGAGATGATGAGTAAGATACCACAGCAGATTAAACCAGAGTGAGGTAGAGTCTGCCCTGGAAACGCTGGCCCCTGACTGCGGCTTACACTTGGGTTTCCAAGAAGACACTTACTGCCCTAAACAACAGGACGACACCTGCAGCTTTTCACCTAGGTGTCTGGAGTACTCCTGTGTGGGAGGCAGACAGTGCCTATGTGACCGGCACCAGATAAAAGCCCTGAGTCTTCAGAGTTTCCCCGGCAGACAACTCCACGTGGGTGTTACGCAACGGAGGATCTGAGAGGCCCGGGAGCATGTGCCCACTCTGCCCCTGAGCCTCTTTGTCTGGAGAAGTTGCTCCCTGCCCTTTGCCTGCCAACAACTCAACAGCTACGATCATAAACCTGTGCTGGTGACTTGGGACAGTGGGGTGTATTGTAGTCTTAGGGACCTGGGTTCAGAAGGAGCCATTCCTCAGCTCCAGCTAGGGTTAATGTTGATGAGTGGTTGGTGAATGAGGCGTAGCAGCCGAGCCAGACTCATGTCTACTAACTTCTTGGTCAGCTGGAAATCAAGGAAGAGTGCCCTCAGCTCTTTACAAGTCAGGTGTGGTGGCTCAACTTGCAGTCTCAGCACTTGGGAAACTGAGGCAAAAGGATGGATGGATGTTGCAGACAGCCTGGGCTACAAAGTAAGACGCCTGCTCTTGCTTCACAAAACAGAAACAAGAGTGCCCAGAACAGCAACTACAAACTCTCTGGGGGATGATGACGTGCCCACGGAGTCCCTGTGACAGCGTTTCTGGTCTAGAGTGAAGACAACATCTTCCAAAGGACTCACTCAATCTGAATGGAGAAGAGTGAGTCCCGCTTTTATTTCTTCAGATTCTTCCAGTGAAACTAATGAAAGACATATGCCAAGTAGGAAAAAAGACACCACCAGTTACAAAGTTTACTTTGTCTTTTCCAAGAAGTGTTTTAACAGGGACAGAGCTTGCATCAGTCTGGACGAAAAACACTAAAGCCTTCATGAGGTCAAAATAAAAAGGTAACAGTTCCTGTCTTCAACCCACCAAGTAGAGAAAAAAAAAATCACATGCACATACACTCACAAACACATACACTCACCACATACACATATACACACACATGCACACACTAATACACACACAGAAGCCTGATCGTGTTTCTTTCCAGTCCATAACTTTGGGGTGTTTTTAACTACAACATACATAAAGTCACTTTAAATGTCTTCACTGGTGTCCAATTTTGTAAACCTTTCCTTTTAAACCCTTTGCCGCATAAGGCTATTTCTCCCCAAAACTCAGTGTGTTTGACATGGTGTTAAACCTTTCACTTTGACACTGTGAAGGTTAGGGAGAAAAATGACAGCTATCATGTCCTCAACACAAACACACAACCGATTTAGCACCTTACTTCAGTGACTTTTGCCATTTCTCCTACCCAAGAGTCTCCTTAAGGGTCACCAAAAGCCGGTGGCCCTATGTCAGGCCTCTATTCACATGCAGTAGTAAGAGGAAATCAGGCATATCTAGAGAGTCTCACAAGCACAGAAAAGCAGAGCAGGCTCTTCACGGGCTTCCAGAAGGGCCAGGATGTCAAGTGCATTTCCCAGCAATTAGTCAGGGACTCTTAGCATCGGCCTGAACTGGACAACAAGCTTTGCATGGGCCTCTCACCACTGGCTCTTGACGTTTCTACACTACCAAGCAGTATTGGGAAAAGACAGGGGAAGCCTGAGACATTAACTTCTTGTGGGCAGTTCTCATTTCAAAAAGACTACAAAAAGCCAGGTATGGTGGAACACACCAGTGTATACTCCCAGTACTGGGGCTGAGACAGGAGGATTTCAAGTTTGAGGTCAGGCTGGACAGCAATGCTTAATCTCAAAACAAAAACAAAAACACCTAACAAATGAATGAACAGTGAAGGGGTGGAGATGTGGCTTAGTGGTAGAATACACCCAAATCATGAAGCCATAGGTTCTATCCTCTGTCAGACAGACAGACAGACAGACAGACAGATAGAGATATGGGAGAGAAGGAAGGAGCAAGCAAGCCAGTAAGCTAGCTCAGCAGTTAAAGGTGCCTGCTGCCAAATCTGATCACCTGAGTTCAGCTTTGGAACCCCAATAGTAGGACAGAAGAACTTCCCTTCATGTGTGTGTTGTGGCATCAGGGTATATGCATGCACACACAACACGTACACAATAAATAAAAATCTGAAAAAGAAGCAGGAGGGGGAAACTATGTAGAATAAGAAATTCATTTTCCTTTAAAAGTCATGCTTTTAAGATCTGAGACATACCACCCCCCAAGGCCCTAAATTCTCTGACCTTGAGCTGTCATTGTTCCTCCCCCGACCTGAGAACAAGAACCCCGTCTACTTTTCAGCCAGTATCCCTCACAGTGTCAACCTCCCAGGGAAACGACTACCATGCTAACTGAATTGTGTTCATGTCTGGCCCCCAATGGAGAATTGTAACTTGAGTGCATTTTCAGTCAATCTTACTATAGGCAAAAAAATGATTTGCTAAAAATCTGTTACCGGGTTGTAGATGATATTTTGCAGGTTGTTTAAGGACAACATGATTCTTTTCCAACTTATAATTGATATCGTTGATTGGAGTCTCTCTTCTTTATACAAGGCTTTACCGATGTTTCATTTAAAGAATACTCAAATTGAAAACTTGTCCTGTGTAAAAGCAAAATGGAAAGGTAAGCATGCATATTTTTTCTTTAAACTTTAGTATGCAAATTATATTATTTTAATGATAGCTACCAAGTAACAGAATGTTAGTATAACCAAAGACTTACCCTACATTCTTTTTTTTTTCTTTTTTCTCTTCTTTTCTTTACTTTTTTTCTTTTGGTTTTTCAAGACAGGGTTTCTTTGTCTAGCCCTGGCTGTCCTGGAACTCTCTCTGTAGACCAGGCTGGCCTCATACTCACTGAGATTCACCTGCCTGTGCCTCTCAAGTGCTGGGATTAAAGTCATGCACCACCACCACCCAGCTCCTACATTCTTAGCAATGTATTTATACATTAAATAATTTTAAATTATCAGTGTAGTGTAACACGAATCTTAAAAGGTCTTACAATAAAAAACTCGGAGCCAGATATTGGGGTGAAAGCTGAAAGATCAGAGAAGCACAACAGCCAGCCATTAGCTTACCTCTGTGAAAATCCTCAGCCTCAAGAGAGCGAGTTCCTGTTTCCTCACGCCTTTTATACCCTTCTGTGGCCTGCCATGTTACTTCCTGGGATTAAAGGCGTGTGTCACCACTGCCTGGTTCTGTTTCTCTCGTGTAGCCCAGTGTGGCCTTCAATTCACAAGAGATCCAGATGGATCTCTGCCTCCCCAGTGATAGGATTAAAGGTGTGTGCCACCACTGCCTGACCTCAATGTCTAATCTAGTGGGTGGCTCTGTCCTCTGATCCCCAGGTAAGCTTTATTGGGGTACATAATATATCACCACAGTGTAGGACGTATCTTAAAAACACATAAGCAGAAAATTCCATGGAGTTTCCTGTTAAAAAAACTAAAATCCCAAGTGTGGTGACACATACCTATAATCCCAACCACTTGGGAGGCTGAAGTAGGAAGGCTACAAACTGGATGTTTGCCTAGGCAATTTGGCAAGACCCTGTGTGGCGGGTGGAGTAAGAATGGCCCCCATAGGCTCATATATTTAGCACTATTTGAAAGGATTAGGATGAGTAGCCTTCTCTGAGAAAGTATGTTGGGTTTGGGGTGAGGGTGGGAGGTGGCTTTGAGGTATCAGAAGTCTAAGCCAGGCCCAGTGTCTCTCCCTTCCTGGTGCCTGTGGATCCAGATGTAGAATTTTCAGCTACCTCTCCAGCACCAAGTCTGCCTGCATGCTGCATGCTCCCAGGCACGATGACAATGGACTTAAACCTCTGAAGCTATAAGCAGGCTCCAGTTAAATGTTTTCCTTTATGAGTGTTGCCATGGTCATGGTGTCTCTTCACAGCAATAGAATAGTGACTAAGACATCCTGTCTCAAAATAATTTTTTTTTTTTTCGAGACAGGGTTTCTCTGTGTAGCTTTGCGCCTTTCCTGGGACTCACTTGGTAGCCCAGGCTGGCCTCGAACTCACAGAGATCCTCCTGGCTCTGCCTCCCGAGTGCTGGGATTAAAGGCGTGCGCCACCACCGCCTGGCTCAAAATAATTTTTTAAGGGCTAGGTATAACTGAGTAGAGAGCTAGGAGATCAGTGGTCATTTACAATGTGCTTAGTATGACTGAAGCCTTGGGTTCAATCCTCAGCACCAAAAAAAAAAAAAGGTGAGGAAGGGGTTCGAAGGTGTGGTTCAGTGATAGAGCTTGTCTAACATGCTCAAGGTCCTGGGTTCAGTTCTTACCACAAAAACAAAACGCGAAACCCTAAACTGAAACAATGGCAAATACCATTCAACCAGTCCTATGAAACTATGAGAATATTCATTTAACATTTCCTGTTTGTTAAACAAGTAGGAATCACATTGTAGGACTGCCCTGTAGTTGGTTTTTACTTTACTCTATACTCTTTTGGGGGATCCACCACCCAGCTCCCAAATAAAACACACAGAGGCTTATTATTTCTTATGAATGCCCGACCTTAGCTTGGCTTGTTTCTTGCCAGCTTTTCTTAAATTATCCCGTCTACCTCTTGGCTCTGGGCTTTTACCTTTCTCTATTTCTGTATATCTTTTCTTTCCTTCTTATTCCATGTCTGGCTGTGTGGCTGTGTGACTGTGTGGCTGTGTGGCCCCTTCTTTTCTTGATTCTTGATCCGCACTTGCTTCCCAATTCCTCTTTTTCTCCTTCTATTTATTCTCTGTCTGCCAACCCCGCCTATCCTTTCTCCTGCCTTGCTATTGGCCAATCAGCTCTTTATTAAACCAATTTTGTGTTTTAGGACAGGCAGAGTTGCACAGATTCAGAGTTAAACAAATGCGACATAAAAGAATGCAACACATCTTTGCATCATTAAGCAAATGTTCCCCAGTACAAACAAATGTAACACACCTTAAAATAATATTCCACAACACTGGCCTGGGGATTAAACAAGTTTAAATAACGGAAAACAGCTCAGTATGTGTTCTCTAGTATTACTAGAAAAGATTGCTCTTCAGCCAGCCAAATTAAATAAATTCGAGGTGGGGTGGGGAGGTCTAGTCACTCCACTGAATACTAGATACAATGTCCCGAATCAGCGCAGTTTTTAATTTTTAAAGATAAAATTGCCTGCTCCACTATGCCTGTGATACATTTTACTACCTCTAGGACTGATGACTCAAACCAGAACCAAGCCAGAAAATGAAACTAGCATTTCCTGCAGTTTACTTCCTACAATTCTGTCGGGCTGTACGACAACAGGCACTCGCCAAATCTGTTAGTTTTTACTAGGAAAAAGAAAATTGAATCTTTCAAACCTAGACCCCTATCTAGTATTTGTCATTAACTGTCGCTTTATTCAAAACCTCTGAACCTTTAGCTCTGCTGCGTGCAATTCAGGAAGCACGAACCAGAGGAAAAAGGAGACAAGAATTGCCATCACCACATCCATAATTGATACCTTGCCCACAGAGAGATCCAGATGGCCTAGGCTGGCATTAGATAACTAGTTCTCGAAGTCTCCAGGCGAGTCTCACCATCCCAGCCATCCCAGCCACAAGAAGTCGTAGCTTAGGTTTTAGGATGATCCCCAAACCCAGAGAACTTGTGTTCTCCCCACGTTCAACATTGGGGTCGAATGACTCAGCATTCTAAAGTGCGCGTCTGGGATCACAGAGTGTGGCAGGGCTGTCAGTCAACTGTCCCGGGGCCTGTCATTCTTGGGGATCAAGGTGACACACCCACTCCCCACCCCACCCCCAGCTGGGGATGGAGACCACAGTCGGGGAGCTGCCGGTCGAAGAAGCCTCACTCGGGGCGGGCGGCGCTGTCCCGACACTTCCATAGGAGGACAAGCCTCAACCCACGACTACCTCCCGCAGCCCAGTGCCCGGTGTCCGGAGCCCAGTGCGCGCGTCATGATGGGGACGGCGGGACGGCGTGTCCACACTCAAACACCCTTCGGATTCCTATCCGGGGACAGTGACAACTCAATACCCCTGAGCCCTGACAACCCAATGCCCCTGAGCCTGGCGTCGCCGGGACTCACCCAAGTCCGGTGCTAGTAGGTGCTGCACTCTGACGTGTCCCCTGCAGGACACCTTCCGGGTTCCCCCGCGCGACTGCAGGCTGAAGGCGGGGTTAGGCCGCCGCCGCCGCCGTTGACGCGCGCACGACAGCGGGGGCGGGGCGTCCGAGTGCTGCGAGCCAGGCCTGTGGGTTCTTCTGTCACCCCTGCAGACCACTGGCTGGATGCGGGAGTGGGGCTTCTGAGTTCGTTCAGGGCTGGGGTGTGGCTTACCTATCGTGCTGGAAGCCCCCCAGGTTGATTTCCAACCAGCTCTACACAAATTGGTCGGGGTGCATACCTGTAATCCTAGCCCTTGCCAGGTGGAGGCAGGAGGATCATACATTCAAGGTCGTCCTGGAGAACTTAAAGGAGAACTTAAGGAGTTCTGGGTCACTCGGGGACAGACACTGTATCTCAAGGCTGATAAAAATGCATTTAAAGAATAATTGTGGGCGGATGTGGTCGGGGCCAGGGCCCTCCCGATATACCTCCTTAGCAGCCTTGGGTCAGAGGCGAGCAATGCTGTGAGCCAATCTGATTTAGCAGCCGCTGTAGATGCGGAGGAAATCGGTTCAGTGTTGCTCCAGCCGGAAACCCCCATCCTGTGAGCAGTAGCCTGGTCGTGTCAACACTAGGATTCACCAGTTATTCTGTGTTGGGTTTTGCTAAGTGGGACGCTTCCTTGGGGAACAGTTTAGACACTGGGGTGCTCGATTCTGAGCAGAGTAGGTGGTCAATAAACACTCAACTGCATGGTCAGGGGCCTGCACTGCTGACAGTTTGACCTGTTTCGTACAAACAGAAATACAAATAAAAATGTAGGTGTACTTTGAGCGACTGCCTAGTTTTGATGTGCTAAAGGGCTCAAAGTTATGTTCTCTTCTTGACTTTTGCCCGTGTTTGTTTTTGAAAGACATGTTTGACATGGCCTATTTTTTCCCTCTGGTCGTGTGTTTTGTTTTGAACTTGAATCCATGACAAGCCTCTTAGCAGCAACCTCATGTTCTGATTCATTATTACTTTTTTCCTCTTTCTTCCTCTTGTCGGTTTTCTAAATTTGATTCATTCAAGATTCTACTTGAATAGTTGGATTTAACCCTTGATGTGCACTGCCTTAGCGTTGTAGTTATTGTTAGGTGGGGTGGGCTTCTAACTATACTTTCTGAGTTTTAAGTTGAGAAAGGGAATTTGCCGTACACTTTCCCAATACCTTGCGTAAATCCTCTAAAGAAATAGTCCCTAAAAATTGGACTGAATGCTACCTAGGGTAAGTGAGGAGCAATTGAGTATCCAGCTTCACTTGAGTCTACCACTTCTTTACAAGGCTAAAATAAGTTAAGATAAATTCATCTCAGTGCTGGATGCATTCCAAGTTGTGGAAACAGCTAGGGCAAAGTCCTGGGGCTCTTAAGGGCTACTGCATGCTCTGAAAACAAAAATCATTGGCGTGCTGAGGCTGGCAGGTGTCAGGAAGGTGAGATGAGGTCATGGGAATGAGGTCCCCAAGAGAGCAGAAAGGAGAAAAGAGCCTTGACCAGAGCCCTGAGGAGAAAAATCCAGGAAGAGAGAAAGAGCAGCTTTGGAGACCTGCTGGAAATGGCTGGAGGTACCAAAGGAGAGCACCCAGATGTGCCACATTCTCTGAGGGGTCAAATGACACAAATAGGATCAGTGGGCATAGCAGCAGAGGTCACTGGGGACTGACTTTGAAGTAGTAAAGAAATGAGAGGTTAAGAAATGGTGGAAATAGCAGCCTTAAACACTAAAAAACATTTTGCTGGGAAGAACAGGGAACCAGTAACACAGCAAGGGAATGGAAAGGTAAAGAATGTTTTTTAGGGGGGCTGGAGAGATGTCTCAAAGTTTAGAATGCACATGGCGCTTGCAGAAGACCTGAATCCAGGTCCTAGTACCTACAACTGAAGTTCACAGTCACTAGCAACTCTAGGTCCAGAGGATGGTACCCTCTCCTGGCCTCTGCAGCCTCCCCTACTCATGTACGTGCACACACACACACACACACACACACACACACACACACACACACAATCATACACACAATGAAATCTTTTTTAAAAGATTTTCATTTTTGAAGGGTGGGTATTTTTTGAGATGCTGTGGTCTTATGCAGCCCAAGCTAGCTTTGAACTCTCATTTCTCCTCTCCATTCTCCCAAGTACTAAGGTTATGTGTGCCTTCTGCTTTGTTTTTTATTTTAAGAGACACTACAACAGTGGTGGCCTTTAGACTTTGTAACCAGGAGCCACAAAGAGAACTGTTTCCACTGTGATTTCAAATGTTACACGAAGAAACAAGTTCTCACAAAACTCACTGTGAGATTGATATGTCCATTTAAAAATGCTATTTGTGTACACATATGGTGCACAGACATATGTGTAGGCAAACATATAAAATAAAGATCTTTTTAAAGTTAAAAATGTAGCCAGGCAGTGGTGGCACACACCTTTAATCCTAGCACTCAGGAGGCAGAGACAGACAGATCTCTGAGTCTGAGGCCTGCCTGCTCTACAGAGTGAGTTCCAGGACATCCAGGGCTACACAGAGAAACCCTGTCTCAAAAACAAACAAACAAACAAACACAAACAAAACCCAAAAAGGTTAAAAATGCCATTTATAATCCACTAAAATGTTGGCAAGACCCACTAGTGACTAGTGAGTTGTAGCCAGAAGCCCAAGAACACTTAGTGAAGATTAAAGTCTGCTCATACCAGCCTTGAGAGCCAACCTGTGCTTTTCCACTTGTGTTGACACCTGGGCCAGGACACGACTCTTTACTAAGAAAATAAGCAAGTACTCCCTCTTAGGACTTTTCTCTCTTGAGAGCCAGATGTGAAACCTTTACCGTCATGTGACTCCAGATGCCTGTAGAGTCCAGAGGTTAACCTTGGGTGTCATTCCTCCAGAGCCAGCCACCTTCCTTTTTGAGACAGCGTGTCTCACTGGGACCGGGAGCTTTTGGATTTGGCTGGACTGGCTGGCCTGCAATCCCCAGAGATCCTCCTGTCTCTGCCAGTGCTGGGATTTCGAGTGCACACCACCACACCTGGCTTTTTATATGGATATTAAGATCCAACGTGTGACAAGCACTTTACTGACACCTGTCTCCCTGGCCCGGAATCCTTTCGTTTTGACCTAATGTCTCCACCCACGCTTGAGAAGTATCCCCCAGGAGCACTGAAGCTCTCCTCCCTCCAGCCAGGCCTCTGTTCAGATCCACAAAGCTTACCTCCTATGTTCTACCGGTTTCATGTCCCACGCCTTAGGATTTCAGCTGAGAGAAGCAAGCTTCTAGATCTGGTTACATCACAAAATAATAGAATCTTAATGATGGGAGAGATCTTATGAGGAGTGTAAATTGAAGGATGACATATTGTCCTATTCCTTAAAATAGTTTCCCCTGACTATCTTCAAGACTACGACATGCTAGTACTAGAAAATATTGAAGTATTTGATATGAGAAAATGTATCTGAAATTGTGTAAACTTAAAGACTGAACAACAAGATACTATAAAAAGAATATGAAGATTTCTATGTTCTATATAGTAGTATTTATGAATGTATATAAAGGGAGACCCAAGATGTGTACCCACTAGATGTAGACTGGTACAAAACAAAATGGACTTTTCTGGAGCTTAAAGCCCCTCGGAGTCAGGCTGTCGTTACACATACGTTCACCTGTTCCTGTCACGTCACTGAGATTCTTCAAGAGGATTCCCTCAGTAACCCAGCCTCGGTGCTGAATCAGACCTTCTTGTTCAGCCAGTCTACTTCTAGCTTGTGTTTATACAACTCATTATGATGATGAATAATAAATTCAGTGCTAGGTTGAAGCAGCTCAGAACTCAAGGTGATTTTTCAAACACAAAAGTATTTTTTATTTTATATTTATCATGTGTGTGTGTGCGTGTGTGTGTGTGTGTGCATACACCTGCTGTGGTGCACATGCAGAGAGGGATCAGAGGAAAGCTTTGGGGAGTCATTTCTCTCCTCCCACCTTTGCTGGGGTTCCATTGGGCAAACTCAGATTGTCAGGCTTATTCACCGCCCCGTTCATTCTCTCTCTCCTGTGTACACACATGCATGTGTGTGTACATATTTTTATTCAGAGGCCAGGAGTCACTGGGTGTTGGCTTTGTTGTTGTTGTTATCTTGACGTAAGCTAGTCACAGGGAAGAGGAAGTATCAGCTGAGGAATTGCCTCCATGGCGTTGGCCTGTTGCCATGCCTGTGGAGTATTCTCTTGACTAATGATTGATGTGGGAGGGTCCAGCCCACTGTGGGTGATGCCTTTCCTAGGCTGGTGGTCCTGGGTTGTGTAAAAAAGCAGGTTGAGCAAGCCCTGGGTAACAAGTTAGTAAGCAGGGCTCTTCTGTGGCCTCTGCTTCAGTTCCTGCCTTGAGTTCCTGCCATGGATCCCTGATAAGATTCTAAACCACAAACCCAAAAACCCTGTCTTCCCCCAGATTGGTTTGGGTCGGTGTTTTTATCACAGCGACAGTGTTTTTCTTTCCTGCTCTCTGTCTGTTCCTTTGAGGCAGGGCTTTCCCTTGAACCCAGCCAGGGCTTGTTTTCTCAGCTGGGCTGAAATTCAGCAAGTCCCAGTGATTCCCCAGTCTCTGCCCTACTCATGAGTGCAGCAAGTGCTCCTAACCACTGAGCCATCTCTCCAGCTTTGAGTTTGGCATTGAGACAATCAGATCCCCTCTCTTCATATCCCTCCTTATCTTTTATTGAAAACCCAAGCAAACTTTACATCTACCTTTCTAGATACTCAGGGCAGAGGTGTGTGCAGACATAACCATCACCTAGAATCAGAAACCACATCCACATGCTTGTCTCATCAAACTCTGCCTGCCATAGGCTAGCCCCCAGAGCTGCGCCTGCTGCAGGGATTCCCTACCACTGACTGTGGACCTTCTGGGGGTAGGGACCCTGACTGAAGGTGGAAGAGGCTGTGTTTCTGAAAACAGGGCCATTTGTTGGAGTAGCATTTGGGGTTAAAGTTCAAGCCCAAGTTGACCTTTACCACTTCGGGAAGTTGATATATGTGGTAATCTTAGCAGTTCTTCATAATGGCTGAATGA